TCTTGGAAATATAAGCTCGGTTACTATTGCTGCCAAGTTTTAAAATCCAGGATATTGTTTTGTTCAGACAATTAAAATGTACTTCAGTAGTGTCCTTTTCAAGGAGAACTTTAGTTGATTAATGAAATGCATCTCAATTGTCTTATTCCAGTCATTGATTTCAATATAAGTTCTGGAGACTGAAGAAACATTGGAAATGCTGTCATTTTCAAAATTAGGGTATTATGAACAAAATTGCCATTTTAAATTTATTTGATTGTGTTAATAAATTAAATTATTACATTTTGCTTAATCTTATCTCCAATGGAGGAATATGAAATAAACCTCAAACCAGGATGGGCGTTAGACTTTTCCTTATGGCTGTGGCACATAGATTTTTAATTCATTAACCTATAATCTTGAAGCTTAAAAGGAACTTTTTTTTTTTTTTTTTTTTTTTTTTTTTTTGAGAGTCTCACTCACCCTGTTGCCTAGGCTGGAGTGGAGTGGCGTGATCTCAACCTACTGCAACCTCCTCCTCCCGGGATCCAGTGATTCTCCTGCCTCAGCCACCTGAGCAGCTGGGATTACAGACACACGCCACCACACCTAGCTAATTTTTTTTGTATTTTTAGTAGAGAGAGGATTTTGCCATGTTGGCCAGGCTGATCTCGAGCTCCTGACCTCAAGCGATCTGCCTGCCTCAGCCTCCCAAAGTTTTGAGATTACAGGCGTGAACCACTGCGCCCAGTCTAAAAGGAACTTTAAATAAAGTCTTGGGTTTATCCCCTCACGTTTCAGAATTTTTTCTTCAAAGATTTTTATCTCATCCTTCTAATTAGGAGATAGGTGTTGAATTAATACTGTAGGTACTATCTAGAGGCCTGTGATCAAATTCCAGGAACTCTTAAGTGCTATTCTTCCATTTAAGAAGCTTAAAATTGACCAGTCTGGACAACATGGTGAAACCTCATCTCTACCAAAGATACAAAAAATTAGCCAAGCATGGTGGCGGGCACTTGTGGTCCCAGTTCTTTGGGAGGCTGAGGTGGGAGGATTGCTTGACCCCGGGAGGCAGAGGTTGCAGAACACCCCATTGCATTCCAGCCTGGGTAACAGAGTGAAACACAAAAACAAAAAAGAAGCTGAAAATTGAATGGATCTGAAATATGCATGGTATTCAAGCCTAAGTCAGTATGAAATGGCTGGGGCCCTTCTCATTAGGTTTGGGAACTTCTGTTACAGTTTGAGTAAGCAAGGGCGAGCCAAACATTTGAAATGCTTTTGATATTATAAAATAAACTTTTTAAAAAGAGACAACTGGCCGGGCGAAGTGGCTTGCGCCTGTAATCCCAGCACTTTGGGAGGCCAAGGTGGGTGGATCACAAGGTCAAGAGATCAAGAGCATCCTGGCCAACATGGTGAAACCCCATGTCTACTAAAAATACAAAAAGTAGCCAGGCGCAGTGGCAGGCACCTGTAATCCCATTTACTCGGGAGGCTGAGGCAGGAGAATTGCTTGAACCCAGGGGGCAGAGGTTTCAGTGAGCTGAGATCACACCACTGTACTCCAGCCTGGGCAACAGAGTGAAACTCCATCTCAAAAAAAAAAAAAAAAAAAAAAAAGACAACTAATGTTTGCAGTGAATATCACTTACAAAGAAACTCTTATAGCCTACTTCTAACTTGGCCTGGTAACTTGCATTATAGGTAATACTTATGAAAGTTATATTTTTCCTTTTATCAGCTTTGACTTAGCCAATCAGTTGCCACTGGTTGGTGTAGGAGTTGTAGATAAATTGTCAGAAACAAAGTTCAGTTGTTCCCAGGCCATTTGTATTTGAGACTTGCCAGAAATTCTTGGAGCCTTGACAGAGAATAAAAGAGCCTCTAACACATTCAGGAAGCTTGGGCCAAGGGAGGCCCAAATGTAAATATGTAATAATATACGAGATCTTGTTTATAAGAAATTCTAGTTTACCTGCACCAGGATTTCTGATGAATTAACATGTTGTAGAGTGTTTCTACAATCAGAGAAGGAGTCAGTACTGCCTACCAGTCAGCCACATGTACATTTACTATTGATTAATTGTTCTGTGTGTATAATGTCCCACTCTTGATCCCAGCCTTCTAGATCTTAGTCCATTTAAATGTTAGTTCCTCTTAGCTTCTCATAAGTGAATTTGGTTTAAAATGCTCAATTACTTCATGGAACATGAAGTCAGAAGTACAGTTCTCTATCTTATGCATTTGGCATCAGAATGGTAAGCATTACATTCTTGTTATATCCGTTCTTATTAGAAACAAGATTTAATGTAGCCACATCTGCCGTTTATGCTTCCCTAAATTTTCCTAGGAGTATCAGAATAGAGACAAAAAGATAGCCACGGGAGTCTCACCTCTGTCTTGCTAAATGGGTCATTTGAGCTGTGTAACTATGCCTCTTTTTCCCTTGGCCTGGCCATTTTGGAATAGTGACAGAGTTTAGAGGAGGGAGACTCTAAGAACAGCAGCACTGAAAAAAAAATTCCAAATAGAAATTTCTGACAAATATAATGAGCCAGTTGATGGATTAGAATTGTTTCTCTAAGGAAGAGGGGTTATTTTACACAGAAGAATTTGCCTCCAGAGCACATTTTTCTGGCTTCAAAGATCTGTCATTTTGCCAGGTGGGTGGTTCACGCCTGTAATCCCAGCACTTTGGGAGGCCGAAGTGGGTGGACCACCTGAGGCAGGAGTTCGAGACCAGCCTGGCCATCTGGCCAACATGATGAAACCCTGTCTCTATAAAAATACAAAAATTAGGCGCAGTGGCGTGCGCCTGTAATCCCAGTTACTCAGAAGGCTGAGGCAGGAGAATCACTTAAACCCAGGAAGCAGAGGTTGCAGTGAGCCGAGATCGCGCCATTGCACTCCAACCTGAGTGACAGAGGGAGACCCTGTCTCCAAAAAAAAAAAAAAAAACCAGGTGCAGTGGCTCGCGCCCGTAATCCTAGCACTTTGGGAGGCCGAGGCAGGCGAATTGCCTGAGCCTGGGCAACATGGTGAAACCTCATCTGTACTAAAATACCAAAAAAAAAAAAAAAAAAAACAGGCATGGCAGCATGTGCCAGTAGTCCCAGCTACCCAGGAGGCTGAGGCAGGAGAATTGCTTGAACCTGGAAGGCGGAGATTGCAGTAAGCCGAGATCACACCACTGCACTCCAGCATGGGGGACAGAGCAAGACTCCATCTCTTGAAAAAAAAAGCTGTCTTTAAAATTATTAACAAATGAAAGAAGAGTAGCCTAGACTGTACACTCAATGAGGGCATAGATCATGTCTCTCTCTTCCACCATTGAATCCTCAGCACTTGGCATTGTTATTGTATATGTATAATAAATATTTACATAAATATTGATAATATATACATAAATATATGTGTATTATTTGAATGTGTTGCCTGTAGTTGTTTTATTTTTAAGCCTTATAAGATACCTTTTGGCTTTGGGAGGCCAAGACGGGCAGACCACGAGGTCAGGAGATCAAGACCATCCTGGCTAACACAGTGAAACCCCATCTCTACTAAAAAAAAAATACAAAAAAAAAACTAGCCAGGCGAGGTGGCAGGTGCCTGTAGTCCTAGCTACTCGGGAGGCTGAGGCAGGAGAATGGCGTAAACCCGGGAGGCGGAGCTTGCAGTGAGCTGAGGTCCAGCCACTGCACTCCAGCCTGGTTGACAGAACAAGACTCTGTCTCAAAAAAAAAAAAAAAAGGATACCTTTTGGAACTTACTAAGAAAATTTCCAAACACATTAAAGTAGAAAGTACATCCTCAGCCAGGCGTGGTGACTCACACCTGTTAAAAAAACGAAAGAAAGAAAGAAAGAAAGTATATCCTCATAAACTCATTACTCAGCATTTTTTTTTTTTTTTTTTTTTTTTTGACTAGAGTCTCACTCTGTCACCCAGGCTGGAGGGCAGTGGTGTGATCTCAGCTCACTGCAACCTCTGCCTCTTGGGTTCCAGCAATCCTCCTGCCTCAGCCTCCTGAGTAGCTGGGATTACAGGCATGCGCCACCACACCCAGCTAATTTTTTTTTTGTATTTTTAGGAGACAGGGTTTCACCATGTTGGCTAGGCTGGTCTTGAACTCCTGACCTCAGGTGATCTGCCTACTTGGCCTCCCAAAGTGCTGGGATTATAGGCGTAAGCCACCGCGCCTGGCCATTACTCAGCTTTAATAACCATCAACCTTTTGCCTGACTTCTTTCATCTATCCCCACTCCGTGTTAAATTTTTTTGTTGGAACATTTTAAAGTAAAACTCAGAAACCATGTCATTTCACTCCCAGTACTTAAGAAAAAGTCACAGTAACCACAATGGCATTACTACATTCACAGTAAATCCTTAATTTCATCTAAGACCCTGTCCGTATTCAAATTTTCTGAGCGTCTTTTTAAAATTTAATTAAGCAATAAATTAAAACTTTTGACAAAAAATGAGAAGTTTCTGAAAATGCAATCTCCTTTAATTATCATTAAAACTTAAGAAAATCTTATAGTGCATTAACATGCAGGAATTCAGTATAGCAAAGTCAATACTCGCCTTAGATGTTGCTAATAGTTTGCTCCATATTATAATTGTTTGTGGGAATTGCATCTCTGAGACCAATGCTCACATTCATATACCTCACATTTCCCTCTTCAATCTTTATTACACACTGTGGTAATTAGTATAAATTACGCTAATAACAAACATTGAGCATTTACTGTGTGCCAAGCACGGTGCTTTACATGTATTATTTTATAAGATTCTTAAAACAACCAGACGATAGGTATTATTATATCTCCCTCCAATTAATTTAGTAACTTACCAAAGGTTTTATAGCTAGTATACAAGCTGAGATTTTAATTTATGTCTCCTAACTACTGACTCTGCTGCCTGCCTGAGTATGCTAAAGATGCTGATGAAAAAGGGTTGAAATGATCTGAAATTAACATTCTAAATTTCATAATATCTCTGTTGTGTGCTAACTTCCAGGCTGTAAGACTGGAAAGTACTTACCAGAATCGAACACGCTATATGGTAGTGGTTTCAACTAATGGTAGACAAGACACTGAAGAAAGCATCGTCCTAGGAATGGATTTCTCCTCTAATGACAGGTATGGTGGTACCATTTCAAAATGTGAAAACTGTGTTTTAAGTAACCTGTTCCAGTTGTTTTTTTTTTGGTGGGGGGCAGGGGGACGGAATGTCATCACTCTGTTGCCCAGACTGGAATGCAGTGGCACAATCTTGGTTCACTGCAACCTCTGCCTCCTGGGTTCAAGCAATTCTCCTACCTCAGCCTCCCGAGTAGCTGGGATTACAGGTGTGCACCACTATGCCCGATTAATTTTTGTATTTTTAGTAGAGACAGAGTTTTGCCATGTTGGCCAGTTTCAAACTCCTGACTTCAAGTGCTCCACCCGCCTCAACCTCCCAAAGTGCTGAGATGACAGGTGTGAGCCACCGTGCCTGACCCCAGTTGCCTTTTATCACAAAAATATCTTGTGCAGTTCTGCTGTTAAAGTACAAGACATAAAACTAAAGAACATAAGTATCTCAGCCACAGTCTTGAGAAACAAGAATGTTTAGTGAATGTCTTTGGTCCTGAGTTTCTAATTTACCATTATTCCATACCTTCATCTCATCTTTAGATAGTCACAATATAAAGCAAGTGGTTTCAAAGTTACATTTAAAAAGCTGCCTTTTTATTTCTTTTTTTGAGACAATGTCTCGCTCTGTTGTCCAGGCTGAAGTGCCGTGATACAGTCACAGCTCACTACAGCCTCAAATTCCTCCACCTCAGCCTCCTAAGTAGCTGGAAGTACAGGCATGCACCACCATACCCAGCTATTTGGTCTTTTTTTTTTTTTCCTTATTTTTCTGGAGACGAGATTTCCTTATGTTGGCCAGGCTGGTCTTGATTTCCTGGGCTTAAGCGATCCTCCCACTTGGGCTTCCCAAAGTTCTGGAATTATAGGCATGAGCCTTGCACCTGGCCTACTCTATTGTAGTCAGTAATGATTCACTTTGGTGATTACAGGGCACCCAGCCTTTGTGGTAGTATACCAGTGGTCCCAGATCCAAAGAGATCCCACTTAAACTACCATCTGTTTTGTTTATCCATGTCCTTAAACCTTGCTTTTACCAAATGTTATGCCTCCTTTTTCCTTTTATTGAGTTAAAAAGGATGGTGGGGGGGCGGGCATGGGGCGGTACAGGATGGCTCCTTAAACTCAAAGCAGAACTTTTTATGTACCTTTGGCTTTAGCTGTACTTTATATTCTATGATGAAAGATAACACACAACACCTGTCCTTTTTGTGTGTTGTTAAGGTTTGTTGCTTTCCTTTTTTATTTTTCCCACTTTTTCTGGAGAAACCTTCGGAAGACTGTGGAATGTGGCTGCTAAGCAGATCTTTACACTCTGGATAATAAGCCTCAGGAAATCCTGCCAGATGTCTCAAAGCATTGACTTCCTGGTTCAGGACTAGAATGGAACTTTGGAGTAGCTAGGGGTGTGACCTAGGCCTAGGGAAATTTAGTCACAAAGAGAGGAGGAGCCTGGGAATGATTCTAATTGTCCTGATGTTGAGGGGAAAAAAATCACTTTATCACTAGAAAGTTTCCCAAACCAATGTTTACCTTATTCCTATATAGAAGTCAACCTGAAAATAACTTGGGGGTTCACAGGGATTCCCAAAGCCAAAGTTATTAGCTTATATACCACTTAACAGCATTTAATTGTAGGCTCTAAATTTACACGGGCTTGTAAACCACATTTAGGAAGCTTTCTCCTGCATGGTTTTAACTTCTGATTAAGCAACGGAGCTTTCAGTAAGCATTTTCCATAACAGCACCTAGCTTGTTTACATTCATTAGGATTTTAGGACCTCTAATTTAGGTTTTTAATCTCTCAAAATCTGTATTGTCCAGTATAGTAGCCACTAACCATATGTGCCCCTTCCTTCCTTCTTGCCTGCCTGCCTGCCTTCCTGCCTGCCTGCCTGCCTGCCTTCTTTCATCTTCCTTCCTTTCTTTTTTCCTTTTTGTGGAGAACACGGTCTCTCTGTGTTGTCCAGGCTGGTCTCAACTCCTGAGCTCCTGCCTCTGCCTTCCTGAGTGCTGGGATTATAGGCATGAGCGACTGCATACGGCATGCATGTGTCTTTTTAAATATCTTAAAATTAAATGAAATTTCAGTTCCTCAGTTCCAACTAGTCACATTTCAAGTATTCAGTAACCGTATGTGCTAGTGGCTATCATATTAGTACATGTATAGAACATTTTCCATTCTTGCAGAAAGTTCAGTTGGACAGCACTGTTCTAGCTAGTATTTCCTTTGTTCAGTTCTCCCTGACCCCCTTCCTTGAAAACCCTATAAAACAGGAACAGGAACCTCACGAAGCTTCAATTGAATCTTCCCCTAGAGACAGAAGACAATAACCGCAGATTCTCCTGACCCAGAATATCAGCAAGCACATGTCTAATCTTAATCTCTTTCACTTTGTCCTAAACTTTACCAGAAAGAATGCATATTAATATAGGTACCCAGTAGTTTATACTCGGTGAATTACATCTATCTTTTGCCAGTGGCCCTGTCTGATTCATATTTGACCAGTGTCACTAGCCAAAGGAAATTTTAGTTTATAGAAGACAAAAGAAGACATGAAACACTAGAAACTAGTTTTCGTTCTGTTTGCTAAACTTACTATTATGAAATTCCCGTACATCCTCACTTTAATGAGTTCCTTGGACTGTAAGAAGTCTCAGGTGCTCAGGTAATCTAAAATCATTTCTGTCTCAGTTGTTGTTGAAGGAATTTGAATTTGTATCATTTCATATCTGAGAATGTAAAATGTTAATGCTTCAAAATAGTATTAAGCCTAAGTGGAACCCAGATAATGACAAGTACAAATAGTTCTTAATAATACGTCACAGCCAATTCATTTAGCCCATTTACAAGTTCTTTGAGTATTATATTTAAATAAATTTTTTAGTACGCAGCATAATCTTGATTTCTAAAATGTAACATATATTTCAAGTTATAAAATAATAGATCTTCGTGGTTTGTTGTTGTGTTTTTTTTTTCCATTTCTTTTTGTACTCCTAACACCTTGAAATGTCTGGTACATAGTAGGCACTAAATAAATCGTTATTGAATGAGTTGAATATTTACTAAAGTAAGTAGTTATACTTTAATGGAGAAAAATCTTGAGAGACTGAGGTAACCTGGATAAAAATACCAAGTGTGCCTTATTCAGGCCTTTCCTTCCTGTTGTGTGAAAAAGCTACTTCTTTTTTTTTTTTTTTTTTTTTTTTTTGAGACAGAGTCTCGCTCTGTGGCCAAGCTGGAGTGCAGTGGCGCAATTTCGGCTCACTGCAACCTCCGCCTCCCGGGTTCAAGCGATTCTCCTGCCTCAGCCTCCCGAGCAGCTGGGACTACAGGCACACACCACCATGCCCAGCTAATTTTTGTATTTTTAGTAGAGACGGGGTTTCACCATGTTGACCAGGATGGTCTCGATCTCTTGACCTTGTGATCCGCCCGCCTCTGCTTCCCAAAGTGCTGGGATTACAGACGTGAGCCACCACACCCAGGTAAAAAAGCTGCTGCTTAATGTAAAAAAGCATTCTGGCCTGAATACAAGCCAAAAATGTAATGTTGATTCCTGTCTATCAATGTCACTTGTCCAAAGGTTAACCAAAATCTGGTCACAAGCTTATAGATCACACCCTTTTGCAGCGTCTATATCTTTTTATATAGTTAATTTCTGGATTTGTCACTGGGCTACCAACCCATCATATTTATACTCCAAATTATACTTGTTGCTAAGAACCTGGCTAAGCACTCACTAAATACAAAGCAAAAAGCTACCATAAAACTATCCCGACTTCATCTTGTGAAGCCATTTTCAAAACAAATTTTTTGTGCGCTCATCTCATCTGCTCAACAAAACTTGTGGTAGAGCTGTCTTGCTCCTGGACTCTGGCATGGTAGCTGTGTTTCTGTTGTTCAGGTCCAGGTTGCAATGTGGATAAGCTCTTTCAGTCTTGATTTGAATCTCCTGAGCTCTGGAATCACTCTTTTTGAGACAGAGTCTTGCTCTGTCTCCAGAGCTGGAGTACAATGGTGCAGTCTCAGCTCACTGCAACTTCTGCCTCCCAGGTTCAAGTGATTCTCCTGCCTCAGCCTCCTGAGTAGCTGGGATAACAGGCGCTTGCCATTGCACCCAGCTAATTTTTGTATTTTTAGTGTAGAGACAGGGTTTCACCATGTTGGCCAGGCTGATCTTGAACTCCTGACCTCAGGTGATCCGCCCACCTCGGCCTCCCAAAGTGCTGGGATTACAGCCTGGCCAACATGGTGAAACCCCATCTCTACTAAAAGTACAAAAAATTAGCCGGGTGTGGTGGCGCTCACCTGTAATCCCAGCTACTGGGGAGGCTGAGGTAGGGGAATTGCTTGAACCCGGGAGTCAGAGGTTTCAGCGAGCCGAGACTGCGCTACTGCACTCCAGCCTGGGCAACAAAGTGAGACTGCATCTCAAAAAAAAAAAAAAAAAAAATCATTGGAGTTCAGTTGGGCACTGTACCTTGTGCTAAGACCTGCCAAATGCAAGTCAGCAGCAATCATCTGCATTTTTTAGATAGTGGTCATTTGCAAGATGACAATGTAGGAAGCTGAGTCAGCAAGTTTTCTTCATTAAATATTTAAGGAACTGACTCACTATCTCTTTAAAACAGCTCCTGAGGACATACATAAGATTAATAGTGATATGATAGAAATTTCTTCACTGTAACACGTATGCCAGAATTTAGAATTTAAGGGTTTATCGTTGGTGTTGAAAGAGTTAGTAAACAAAAGACTGCTTCCCAGAGTAACAGGGAGTAACTTGTGGACTATTTCTTGTCTTGCAGTAGCACTTGTACCATGGGCTTAGTTTTGCCTCTCTGGAGCGACACGCTAATTCATTTGGATGGTGATGGGTAAGAGATTTCCTTTTTTATTCTGTTACAGAAAGCCAAGGGGTGGGGCTCCATCTTACTGCACATTCATTCAGCTAAAAGGGAGGGCCAGTGTGCCAACCGAACTTTCATGTCAGCAGCTCAATGAGTCCTTTTAAACTCCTGTTTTGTAAAGTGGAGTAAAAATACAACTTGCCAGGGTCTCTCACTTCTGTTCTTCTAGGCCGACTGTGGTAGGAATCAAGACAAAGAAGAACTAGTTTGTTGGCTCTTTAATCTGAGCATGTGGGACTGTTGCAATGCTCTCCCAAAGGATGATATGTTCTGTTTCAAATAACCTCTTGCCGCCTCTGCCAGCTGTCAGCCTACAGTATAACCCCTTTGCTATGCCAGTTCCTTCCAGTGACCCCACCCCCACCCTACCTCCTAATGTTTTTAGAATGTGTCCCCAAGAGACCAAGATGTTTGCTCCAGTTTATAAAACCAGGGTCAGGTTTGCTAAGAACCCACAAGACCTCCAAATAGAAATATACAGAACATTTTGTCCATAGCTACAGCTGGGAAACTGTATTTAATTCCCTAACTCCAATATGGGAATCCTTTCATTTTGCTTGGTAGATGAAGTCAAGACAATTTGTCAAAGCTTTTCTGTCAAGTCTTATTCTCTAGTTAAAACTTCTACATGAAATGCCTGATGATTCCCTCTACGGAGCCAGTTGTGGTTAGCCTGGGATACATCCGTGAAAACTCACAACTGAAATAACCTACCCTAATTTGTGGATTTTTGTCTTGTTCTCATTTGTCCTTAGTGGGTTCAGTGTATCGACGGATAACAGAGTTCACATATTCAAACCTGTATCTGTGCAGGCAATGTGGTAAGATGACTTTTACTATCTCTACAAAAGTGTTTTAATGTTATTGGAGCAATATTTTGTAAGATGTCTGAAATGGTACAATTTGCTTTGAAAATGCTAAATGATCTTTTGTGTAACCATAGTAGTTAAAGATGGCCTAGAAATGCAATATTCAAATTTTTAACAACTGGAAGGCCTTGAGTATTGGTGAACAAGTGAAATTCAGAGGAATTCAGAGGTGGTATTCTTAGGCTCTGGCAGAGACTTAACGGTTTAGATAAGCCAGTTGATACTGAGCTTTATTAGGGACACATTGACTAAGTTAATTACTTAGTGGACTAAGAGCCAAATCTAGAACATACAGTGCTATGCATTAGCTATTTCTTTTTTTTTTTTTTTTTTTTTTTTTTTTGAGACGAAGCCTCACTCTGTTGCCCAGGCTGGAGTGCAATGGCGCAATCTCGGCTCACTGCCACCTCTGCCTCCCAGGTTCAGGTGATTCTCCTGCCTCAGCCTCCCGAGTAGCTAGGACTACAGGCACGTGCCACTACGCCTGGCTAATTTTTTTGTATTTTTTAGTAGAGACAGGGTTTCACCATATTGGCCAGGCTGGTCTCAAACTCCTGACCTCATGATCTGCCCACCTCGGCCCCCCAAAGTGCTGGAATTACAGGTGTGAACCACTGCGCCTGGCCTGCATTAGCTATTTCTTAAGGTAACCAAGGATAGCATTCACAGAGTTACTTTATGGATAGATAAATTTCCATGTAAACTGCTGGTGGCTATTTGCATAATGCAAATAAAGCCTAGAGAAAACATTATACTTGCTAATAACCATCAGCTGGCATATGGACATTTCAGGGCTATTTACTACATGCCAGATGTTTTACATGGATTTTATTTAATCATCATACCAAGCCCCCAAAATAATATTATTAGCCCCTTACTATGGGTGAGAAAACATGCTTTGGAGGGGTTACATAACTGCCCTGAGAGTATTTCTTACATTTAGACAGGATAGGTATTTCTCTGTCTGTCTCTCTGTCTCTCTTTTAAAGAGACAAGGTCTCCCTCTGTTGCCCAGGCTGGAGTGCAGTGGTGCAATCATAGCTTATGGCAGCCTCCAACTCCTGGGCTCGAGTGTTCTTCCTACCTCAGCCTCCTAAGCAGCTATGACTACATGCATGTGCCACAACACCTGGCTAATTTTTTAAATTTTTTTGTGGAGACGGGGGTCTCTCTGTGTTGCCCAGGCTGGTCTTGAACTCCTGGCCTCAAGCAGTCCTCCTGCCTTGGCCTCCCAAAGTGCTGGGATTGCAGGTGTGAGCCACTGCACCTCGCCTCTTATTCTCTTATTTTAGATTATCTAGAAAATTATCTAATAGCTGGGCGCGGTGGTTCAAGCCTGTAATCCCAGCACTTTGGGAGGCCGAGACAGGTGGATCACGGTCAGGAGATCGAGACCATCCTGGCTAGCACAGTGAAACCCCGTCTCTACTAAAAAATAAAAAAACTAGCCAGGCGAGGTGGCGGGCGCCTGTAGTCCCAGCTACTCGGGAGGCTGAGGCAGGAGGATGGCGTAAACCCAGGAGGTGGAGCTTGCAGTGAGCTGAGATTGGGCCACTGCACTCCAGCCTGGGTGACAGAGCAAGACTCCGTCTCAAAAAAAAAAAAAAAAGAAAAAAGAAAAAAGAACATTATCTAATATAGCCAGAGAATGATGTGACTAAGATTCAGAATTCATTCCCCAGTCAGGGATTTGAATTTCAGTTTCTTATTCAGCTGCCTGTTAGGTAGTAGAAGTCCCCATGAGGAGTGGAATGGACAGAATGCAAGCAAAACAAGAAATAAAAGAGCCTGAAAAAGACCCCGGGGAGATAATCTACCCCTGAAAACAGAATTGATAGGATGGAAGTGGGTGGAGTCCAAAGCGGCACTGAACAATTAAGTCTTATCATTACCTGCAGTGATTGAGATAGGACAGAGTTTCAGGTCATGTGTTTAGACCAGATTTTTAGAGTTAGGACATATTTTGCAGGTAAGTTTCTCATGGAAAACTTAGGAAATTTATGACCTCCTTTGACTAAGGTTCAGTTAAAGACAATTGACTTATCTGTTCTTAAGTAACAAGTAAATCCAAACAGCAGTAACAACCATAAATGACAGCATTTTCAGGTATATTTTGGGGAAGAGTACAGAGCAGTCTTAATTCAAGTAATAACCTTAAATCAAGCTTTGATGTTCTAAAGCAAGCTTGTCCAACCTATGGCCCATAGGCCACATGCATCCCAGAACGGCTTTGCATGCAGCCCAACACAAATTCATAAAACTTTCCTAAAATTCTAATCCAAATTCATAAAACTTTCCTAAAATATGAGATTTTTTTTTGCAATTTTTTTTTTTTTTTTTTTAGCTCATCAGCTATCATTAGTGTATTCTGTGTGTGGCCCAAGACAGTTCTTCCAATGTGGCCCAGGGAAGCCAAAAAATTGGACATCCCTGTAAAAGTAAACTGATCCTAGCTCTTGTTGCAGAATAAACTTTTCTTGATGTACCTTATGGGGAGTAGTGAGTTGAAGTCACAGGAGAAAAAAAATAGATGATGTGTGGATCAAAGCAACGTTTAGACCAGGTGTTTCCTTCACAGGAAGATAGTTACTGCAGCCTCCCACTCCGATGCAGCTGGAGTATCTGAGGTGCCTAGGCCTTGAGTATATTTTAGGACAGTTGCACCAGACTCTGTGGCATATGCTTTTGGAGCATGTGTTTCCTAGATGAAGAAACACGCATTAGGCATTCTGTAAGTTACACTAAGCTGGCTCTTACCTTTGAATCTGTGTAATGAAACTGAAATTCTCAGATTATTCTCTTGAGACTTTGGCTTACTTTGAATAATAGAAAGCATTTTTAAAAGACTTTGCAACTTTTTTTTAAGGAAAACATTTGTGTTTTCCTAATAAAAATGAACCAACACATTTCCCCTTATTAAATTGGTTTAAATTTGTTTTCTTAATTTACATTGTATAGGGTGGACAGGGATTCAAGGAACAAACACTGTGATGTACTATTGGTGGGAGAATGAACTGGAGCAGCCTTTCTGGAGAGTGATTTGCCAATATGCCTTATCATGTTGCATGATCTTTGTCCTAGTTACTCTACTTCTATGAGTTTACTCCATGTTTGTAAACATGGATGTGTGCAAAGATTTTAGCTATAAGAATGTTTGTCAGTGTTCTAATAATAGCAAAAAATGAAAAACAATTTAAATGATTGAAAAATAGGAATTAGTAAATTATGGTACATCTATATCATTAAATATTATGCAACCATTAAAAATGATCCAGTTGAAAAATATTTGACATGGAAAGACGTTGATGATAGGCTGTAAAAGAAAAGAGCAAGTTATAGATGGTATGGAGAATATGGTCATATCTTTGTTTATTATACATCTATGCATAGCCAAAAAGACTGGGAAAATCTACACTAAAACCTTAACAGCGGTTATTTCAGGGTGGTAGGATTACAGGATATTTCTGCCTTTTCTCTGAGGTCCCTAATTTTCTAAAGTAGACATGCATCATTTTTGTTACGAGGGAAACAAAAATATATATATATTTTTTTGAGACAGAGTCTCGCTCTGTCATCCAGGCTGGAGTGCAGTGGCACCATCTCAGCTCACTGCAGCCTCCGTCTCCCAGGTTCAAGCGATTCTCCCACCTCAGCCTCCCGAGTACCTGGGACTACAGGCATGTGCCACTGCTCATTGGCTAATTCTTGTATTTTTAGTAGAGACGGGGTTTCACCATGTTGGTTAGGCTGATCTTGATCTCCTGACCTCAAGTGATCCACCCACCTTGGCCTCCCAAAGTGCTAGGATTACAGACATGAGCCACCATGCCTGGCCATAATGTCTTTTTTCTTAGAGAGACATTAGTTTATAGCTAATGACATTTCACTCAACAAATACTAATTGAGCTCCACCTATGAACTAGGTATTCTTTTACTCACTTGGGTAAACAAAGTGTAGAAAGGTTCTTGCTCTTATATAACTTACTTCGTAGTATTTCTAGCTTAAGCTTTTCCCACATATATAATGAAAAATGTACTTTTCAATTTGTTTACTCTTCTTGGGTTCCTGAGTTCAGACAGAGCCAGAAGGTTTAATTAGTCTCAGAATTACCAGAGTTAGGCCAGGCACGGTGGCTCACACCTGTAATCCCGGCATTTTTGGAGGCCAAGACGGACGGATGTCTTGAGTCCAGGAGTTCCAGACCTGCCTGACCAACATAGCAAAAACCTGTTCAACTAAAAATACAAAAATTAACCTGGTGTAGTGGCATGCACCTGTAATCCCAGCTACTACTCGGGAGGCTGAGGCATGAGAATCACTTGAACCCAGGAGGTAGAGGTTGCAGTAAGCAGAGATCACACCACTGCACTCCAGCCTCGGCGACAGAGTGAGTCACTGTCTCAACAAAAAAGAATAACCAGATCTGTTCTTAGAAAGTAGCTCATGGATTTAAAGAGACTAGGAGACTAAGGCAGCAGGAATAATAAATATCATTAGATCAGTACTTCCTGAACATTAAAGGACATGTCCTCAAGGCTTAGGGACATCCATTTATGTGATCTTTGTGAAGCCTCTTAAGAATTACAGAAAATGTATGCTGTAACATCCTGTGCTGAGGGAAACAAATCCATATATGGCAAATTAGTCAGATCTTTAGTTTTCTAATGATACAGCAGTCACTGCATGGATCATGTGCTCCGTAGGTACCTGGACCTATTTTTCACTGGTGAGTTGTCAGCTCTCCTTCCCCATCTTCTCCCTACCTTAATGATGCATCATATCTTTCAGCAAATGTCTTGTCCCTTGCTGTGGATAGATAATATGGTATAATCAGAGGAGTAGATTCTCCAGAGGACAAATTCTATAGAATTTAAAAATTAGAAGAGTTTGAGGTACACAGGTTATTAGCCTTTGGCACCCCACAGTTCTATGGTGCTCATTTCCCAGCATATCTTTCAGGTCTGCACTACAGAGCTTACACAAGGCTTGTGAAGTCGCCAGAGCGCATAACTACTACCCAGGCAGCCTATTTCTCACCTGGGTGAGTTATTATGAGAGCCATATCAACTCAGATCAATCCTCAGTCAATGAATGGAATGCTATGCAAGATGTCCAGTCCCACCGGCCCGACTCTCCAGCTCTCTTCACCGACATGTAAGTCAGTTTGCTAAGGATTATGGAAGTTCTCTCCATTATATCCTGAGGAGTCATAAGAAGCATGTTCCTCCCTAATCTTTTCTCTTGGGGAATTAATCTTACCTAGGAATATTAGTCACTGTCAGTACCACATATCTGCCACATATGAAGAATCCTATTCTTGCTGTTGCCTGCAAAAGCCTGAGAAGCTTCACCCCAAGGCACAGTGGAGTCTCCATAGTCAAAAACTGCAATACCATAAAATTTCATTATTCAGATTCCACTAATTTGAAAATTGAGTTTAAAGGAGTTGGGCTGAAGTTTGAGTTTGCATTATCTGAAAGAATCAGTTTAGTAAGCATTACTGGTGATATAAAGAAGCTTTCAAAGTCATGTTTGTAATACTTAAGAAAACAAGATGTTTCCAGTCAACTTAATGCCTAACTTGTTAAGCTAATTTTTTTTTTAAAAGACAGGATCTCACTCTGTCACCCAGGCTGGAGTACAGTGGCACAATCATAGCTCGCTGCAGCCTCAAACTTCTGGGCTTAAGTGATCCTCTCACTTCAGCCTGCAAAGTACCTAGGACTACAGGCATGTGCCACCACGCCTGGCTAATTTTTAAATTTTTGTTTTTTTAGAGATGGGGTCTCACTATGTTGCTCAGGCTGGTCTTAAACTCCTGGCCTCAGTCCTCCTGCCTCAGCCTACCAAAATGCTGGGATTACAGGTGTGAGCCACTACACCCAGCCTGTTAATTTTTAACTTAAAAAAATTTTTTTAATATTTTATCATTCAAATGTCTTATTCTGCTCTACCTTTCCGTTGATAAGTCCTTGTCAGTACAATTTAATTAAATCTCCCTAGTGTACTGTGAGTTAGATAACAGCCTAAGGTAAAGCTGATGTTTATTTCCTTTTTAGGTCTATGTGTTGAAACTTCTGTGGCTATTTTGGAAATTTTTTTACACTTAGTGCCTGCTTTGTAAATTCGTCATGATGTTTCTTTTGCTCTAAATTGATCTTTCTGCACTTCCAAGGTATTCTACAGCAGGGAAAGAAGAGTAGCTAGTTACTGTCTGACCTTACAAACAGGATTCTCCTTTAGACTCCTAAAGTCATGCCAAAACAGTTCCTGGGGTTTTTTTTTGGGGGGGGAGGAGGGGTTTTTTTTTTTTCTTTTTTTAAGACAGAGTCTTGCTCCATCACCAGGCTGGAGTGCAGTGGCATGATCTCTGCTCACAGCAACCTCTGCCTCCTGGGTTCAAGCAATTCTCCTGCCTTAGCCTCCTGAGTAGCTGGGATTACAGGTGCCCACTACCACACCCAGCTAATTTTTTGTCTTTTTAGTAGAGACAAGGTTTTGCTATGTTGCCCAGGCTGGTTTCAAACTCCCAAGCTCAGGCAATCCACCTGCCTCGGCCTCCCAAAGTGGCGGGATTACAGGCTGAGCCACCGTGCGCCCGGCTGGGTTTTTTTTTTTTTAACAGAATAATTTACTTTATTCTATTTTTTGAAACCAAGTCTCACTCTGTCGCCCAGGCTGGAATGCAGTGGCATGATCTTGGCTTACTATAATCTCTGCCTCCCGGGTTCAAGCAATTCTCCTGCCTCAGCCTACCGAGTAGCTGGGATTACAGGCGTGTGCCACCACGGTCTAATTTATGTATTTTTTATGTATTTTTAGTAGTGACGGGGTTTCTCCATGTTGGCCAGGCTGGTCTCCACCTGCCTCAGCCTCCCAAAGTGCTGGGATTACAGGCGTGGCCACTGCACCTGGCCTAAAAAATGTTCTTTACTAGAAAAGGTGAACTTTCCAAAAATTGTATGAAGGGAACAGTCAAAAAAGCAGTGGAATCTTTTTTTGCACAGGGTGTTATTGCTACTAGGACCTTCTTTTCAGTAGCCTTGGTCTTTTCAGAATCTCACAGTAATTGATAAAGATTTATGGGAAATGTTACTGGTGATTTCATGCTTTACAGCTAGGTGATGAGTTTCAGAGAAATGGATGTCTCATCTAGCTCAAAAATGCACATTCTAAACCAGACTTACATGAGAGAGAGATAACTTTTCTTCCCATTTTTTCCAGATTTTATTAGAGACAAGTTGGGCACAGTGGCTCACACCTGTAATCTCAGCACTTTGGGAGGCCAATGCAGGTGGATCACCTGAGGTCAGGAGTTCGAGACCATCCTGGCCAACATGATGAAACCCCCGTCTCTACTGAAAATACAAAAATTAGCCGGGCATGGTGGCAGGCGCCTATAATCCCAGCTACTTAGGAGGCTGAGGCAGGAGAATCACTTGAATCTGAGAGGCGGAGGTTGCACTGACCCGAGAAGATCGCACAGATCGCACCACTGCACTCCAGCCTGGGCGACAGAGCGAGACTCTGTCTCAAAAAAAAAAAAAAAAAAAAAAGATTTTATTAGAGAAGATTTTAACACTAAACAAAAAACAAGAAGAAGGAAATTACTCTTACTCTCTTTACATCCCTAAGCAAAAAACATAAAGGCAGTCCCTGGCAAATGATAAAGGCTTATTAACTGTTAGTTCTTAGTATGTACAATAAGAACCCTAATTTTAAGATATATTTTAAGAATTTCTGTCTGTTTACAGAAAAAGAATACACGAAAGCTGTAGGCCAGAGTGGTGTTAATAATTATCTCTAGGTAGAGGGATTTTCAGTGGTTTTTATTTACTTTATATTTTTACATATTTTCCAAATTTTTCTCCAATGAAATTGAGGAGGAAAAAGCAGATTTGTGTGTTATAATGCTTTTTCCATTCCTCCTCCTCCCTAAGTTGACTAGAAAAGCCTATAAAACGATGCTGAGAATACAGGGAGAATGTGTGCCAAAATGGACTTAAATACTCTACTGTGAATAATTTATATTTTGAAATCCAAGGAAAGGAGGAAGAAGGGAATATACATATATGGGATATACATCTGGTGTTATGCCAGCATTTCATACATGTTCTCATAAGACTATCATGAGACAGGTATTATTGCTCTACTCTTTTTTTTTTTTTTTTTTAAGACGGAGTCTCACTGTTTTCAGCCTGGGCTGGAGTGCAATGGCACTATCTCAGCTCACTGCAACCTCCGCCTCCAGGGTTCCAGCAATTCTCCTGGCTTAGCCTCCCAAGTAGCTAAGATTACAGGTGCCCACCACCATGCCCGGCCAATTTTTGTATTTTTAGTAGAGACAGGGTTTCACCGTGCTGGCTAGGCTGGTCTCGAACTCCTGACCTCAGGTGATCCACCTGCCTCAGCCTCCCAAAGTGCTGGGATTACAGGTGTGAGCCACCACACCCAGCCTGCTCTACTCATTTTATAGAAAAGGAAACACAGGTGCAGGGAAGAGAAGGAACTTGTTAGAAGTCACACCACCAATAGCAGTGCTGGGATTAAAACCTAGGTCTTTCTACTCCCCAACCACTCTGCCTCAAACACATGTGAAGGATTAAAGGAAAAATTGCTTAGGAACTAGGGAATCTGACCCATGAACACAGGTACTAAAATTTGCTTTTACCTTTTTGTTTTTCCTTGAGACAGAGTCTTGCTCTCTTACCCAGGCTGGAGTGCAGTGGTGCAATCAGAGCTCACTGCAGCTTCCACCTCTGGGGCTCAAGCAGTCCTCCCACCTCAGCCTCCCAAGTAGGTGTGGAACTACAGCTGTGTGTCACTATGCCTGGCTAATTTTTTATTTTTATTTTTTGTAGATATAGGGTTTCGCCAATTGCCTGGGCTAGTCTCGAACTCTTAAGCTCAAGCAATTCACCCACCTCGGCCTCCCAAACTGCTGGGATTACATGCATTAACCACTGCACCTGGCCCAATATTTATTTTTAATGGGAGACTGAAATTATACATTTATTTTCTACCATTAGCTATGTCTAGGATAAATAAAGCATGGATAAGAATTTTAATCCTAGTTAAGACAGGAATACCTTGGCTGATTGAAGAGAAACACCTCAGGTATTAGCTGTATTCTGTAGGGTTCGTGAGAAATTAAGAGCCCAAGTGGTGGGAAGCCCCAAGGTTGTGGGGTTAGAGCATCCATCTCTGGAGATTACCAAAGCTATTTTTGCAACCAGCGATAAGGCTGTAGGCAGCAAGGGCAGGCAGGATGCCTGAAGGCTTAGTCCATTTTCATCTCCAAATAAGGAGGTACAGAGCCAGATACCTTTCTTGAGTAGGTGGTGGGAGTTGGGGAGGAGATGAAACAAAGTACTCCCTGTCAACCTCATTCAAATTCTGCATAATCTGAAATAATGCTTTAGAGGAGAAGTATCTAGTTACATTGAACCACTACTTTTCTAATAATTGGAGAGGCAGCTACCTAGTTTGATTTCATATTAAAGTTCTAAGGGTGATTTTATTTTTAAGAGAGTCAGAAGACTCAAGGAAGTGACAATCCTTCAGGTAGAGCATTAGGCTAGGCTGAGCGTTCTAATTGTCCTGCGCCAGCGTGGTTATCAGCATGTCATTTAACTTTTCAGTTGTTTGTTTCCTCTACCTGTAAAACAAGGTTAACTGTTTCACAGAGATATTGTGAGAACTGTCATTAAAAGGAAAGCATTCTGGATGGAAGGGCTCTTAAGTCAGCAGTCCCCAGCCTTTTTGGCACCAGGGACCGGTTTCCTACAGACAGGGAGCAGTGGGGCCGGGATGGTTTCATGATGAAACTGTTTCACCTCAGATCATTAGGCATTAGTTAGCTTCTCATAAGGAGCATGCAACTTGATCCCTCACATGTGCAGTTCACAATAGGGTTTGCGCTCCTATGAGAATCTAACGCCGCTGATCTGACAGGAGGTGGAGTTCAGGCAGTAATGCTTGCCCGCCGCTCACCTCCTGCTCTGCTGCCCGCTTCTAACAGGCCACTGACCAGTACCCGTTGGGTACCCCTGCTCCAAGTAGTTGATCTCTACAACCGATTTTGGGAGAGGATTTGCCTTATTGAAGAAGGCAGGATCATTCTTCTTTCTTTCTTTCTTTCTTTTTTTTTTTGAGACGGAGTCTCGCTCTGTTGCCCAGGCTGGGGTGCAGTGGCCGGATCTCAGCTCACTGCAAGCTCCGCCTCCCGGGTTTACGCCATTCTCCTGCCTCAGCCTCCCGAGTAGCTGGGACTACAGGCGCCCGCCACCTCACCCGGCTAGTTTTTTGTATTTTTTAGTAGAGATGGGGTTTCACTGTGTTAGCCAGGATGGTCTCGATCTCCTGACCTCGTGATCCGCCTGCCTCGGCCTCCCAAAGTGCTGGGATTACAGGCTTGAGCCACCGTGCCCGGCCTGATCATTCTTCTTTCTTTCCCATTTTCTAGAACCACAACATTGACTTATCAGCATAAGGTGGCATTTTAAACCACAGGAGACTTAGTTCCATGGTAGGTCATAGTACTGGTCTACTGAGCTGGGTATTCTAGCTCAGTAAGTAATACCCAGAATACAGAAACAAGTATGGGTCTCGTCCTCCATTAAAGTATTACAATCTACCAGGCACGGTGGTTCACGCCTGTAATCCTAGCACTTCGGGAGGCCAAGACGGGCAGATCATGAGGTCAGGAGATCGAGACCATCCTGGCTAACACGGTGAAACCCTGTCTCTACTAAAAATACAAAAAATTAGCCGGGCGTGGTGGCAGGTGCCTGTAGTCAAGCAACTCAGGAGGCTGAGGCAGAATGGCATGAACCCAGGAAGCGGAGCTTGCAGTGAACCAAGATTGCACCACTGCACTCCAGCCTGGGCAACAGAGCGAGACTCCATCTCAAAAAAAAAAATATTACAATCAGTACACCCAAATTATCTTTGCTCCCTCATGATCTAAATACATGAATGTATTTAAGCGCTTTAGACACATATAACCTCTTCAAAGTAATAATTTCTAACATGTTTAAATTCTGTACATTCTGAAAATAAGCTTTTTAAAATATGATTTTATTTTGCCATGCTTCCACAATATGAATTTGAGGGTAACAAAGGCAAGGTTTGCTAAATTGGAAGCCTAATCAAATGGTACATTCATTAACTTAGTCAAATTCCTGCTTAAGAATAATCGTTATTTCTCTCTTTTCAGACCTACTGAACGTGAACGAACAGAAAGGCTAATTAAAACCAAATTAAGGGAGATCATGATGCAGAAGGATTTGGAGAATATTACATCCAAAGAGGTAAGAGACCTTGAGTCCTTGTTTGTTCCAATGCTAGCAGTTGTATAACAGTAGGTGTGGGGCTGGAAATAGTGCATGGTTGAAAGTATAGAGGGACTTTAAGAGATGGGTACAATATGTCATCTTTGTTTCAGATAAGAACAGAGTTGGAAATGCAAATGGTGTGCAACTTGCGGGAATTCAAGGAATTTATAGACAATGAAATGATAGTGATTCTTGGTCAAATGGATAGCCCTACACAAATATTTGAGCATGTGTTCTTGGTAAGTTTTAAGGCCACTTTAAGTGGTGTGCTAAAGCTAACCCATATGGACTCATGGGCGGGGGTAATTGTTAAATTTTATTATACATCAATAAAATGTAACTTACATTAAAGACAAAAGTGATAAGTACTCAAACCTCATCACTTCCTAATTATTTTATTACTTGTGTGTGTGTGTGTGTGTGTGTGTGTGTGACGGAGTCTCGCTCTGTTGCCCAGGCTGGAGTGCGGTGGCACGATCTCATCTCACTGCAACCTCTGCCTCCCGGGTTCAAGCAATTCTCCTGCCTTAGCCTCCCGAGTAGCTGGGACTACAGGTGCATACCACCACACCCAGCTAATTTTTGTATTTTTAGTAGAGACGGTGTTTTGCCATCTTGGCCACATTGGTCTTGAACTCCTGACCTCAGGTGATCTGCCCGTCTTGGCCTCCCAAAGTGCTGGGATTACAGACATGAGCCACTGTGCCTGGCCCTCATTTTTAATTTTTATTTTTGAAACAGGGTCTTGCTCTATTGCCCAGGCTGGAGTGTAGTGGCACAGTCTCGGCTCAGTGCAGCCTAAACCTCACAGGCTCAAGTGATTCTCGCTTCTCAGCCTCTTGAGTAGCTGGGACCACAAGCATGTGCTACCACCCCCGTCTAATTTTTGTATTTTCTGTGGGTATGGGGTTTTACTATGTTTCCCAGGCTGGTCTCGAACTCCTGAGCTCAAGTGATCCGCCTACCTCATCCTTCCCAAAGTGCTGGGGTTACAGGCATGAGCCGTCACACCTGACACGAAATAGGATGATCCTTTAAGGTCACTCTCAAATCTGCCAAATGTGTCTAAGGTCTGATATGTCTGAGCAGAGCTGGTGGGAGCTACTATATAACTGAGAGATGAGACTACTGGACTTTCAAACATATGAAACCTTGTAGCTACACTTTGAGTCCCTACTTTTACGGTTACCAAAAAATTGGTGACTAAAAATTGTTCTTCATGGTTCCTGAACATTTAGTGACCTTGTAACTAGCCCAAGAAGACCTCTCTGACAGGTAGATTATGAAAGCTTCTAAAATCCTAAAACCTATTTCTCTCTCAAATGTTAGAGTTTTAGTTCTTATCTGTACATGTAGTGGGAACAAAGTTAACAAGAATAATTAAAATCAATGGAGAATGCCAAAACCTCATTTTGTGTCCACTTCCCACACTTTCACCAAAAATGCTTACAAGGAAGTCAATCAGTTGGTTTGAATTTTACTTCCTTTCTCTTCTTGAGAACCTTTATAAACTGTGAAATGATTAGAAGCTGGGAAACACAAGAGAAGGGGAATAAATGCTCAGGAACTGACTAAACTGGATCCACCTCACTCTGAATATTCAAGTGTTTATTTCATGAGACACTCAGACTATGCCTTTGAAGACTTGTGCCCTGAAATAACTTGTTGACACTCTAGGATATATGTGTCTAGAGTGATTCATAGTGGTGTATTAGCTATGAAATTACTCATGAAAAGCTGTGAGCTGGGAGGGGGACTTACTTTCCATTACTTTAACTGACCAATATGTGTTGGCATTTCTGGTTGTAGATCATACTGCAAAACTGGCATTGGCTTTTCCATTTGCAAGGCACCTGGCTTTGTTGTCTCTTATGTATACTTCCACAAGGATTCAGATACATCCTGCTCTTGTATTGTTGGAAAGAAACTTTGTGTTATCTATAGAAAACTTGTGAATCACTCATGCTGTGGGGCCCTCCCAACTGTTTTTTGTTTTTTGTTTTTTTGTTTTTTTTTTTTTTGAAGACTAATTTTTATGAAGGGCAAATACCTGTAGTCAAAAGGAGCTCATGTGACTGAAGCTGCAAACTTGGGAGTCAAGTTTCCCATTGAGCTTGGCTTTTAACACTTAAAAGAATATAAACATGATGAAGATCAAATACAGTCAGTTTCTGACTGATCAACCTGTTTTATTTCATGCGTGCTTCCCTGTGTTCTTGACCCACTCAAGAACTACTCCTCAAATGGTATATTTTAGGCCATGCAAGCAAATTTTAATAGTATTGTAAGCAGAAAAAACAATCCAATTTCCCCAAAATTACATTTCCCTAATCAACTACAAATGCATTTGAGCATTTGTGCCAGTAGATTAATACCATGATTTCATTATTGTCAGGTGTAATCTTCTGTCTTGAGTTTTTTTCTTATTAAAAAAAATAATTCTGGGCCGGGCGCGGTGGCTCACACCTGTAATCCCAGCACTTTGGGAGGCCGAGGCAGGTGGATCACGAGGTCAGGAGATCGAGACCATCCTGGCTAACATGGTGAAACCCTGTCTCTACTAAAAATACAAAAAAATTAGCTGAGCATGGTGGCAGGCGCCTGTAGTCCCAGCTACTTGGGAGGCTGAGGCAGGAGAATGGCATGAACCCAGGAGGCGGAGCTTGTAGTGAGCCAAGATCGCGCCACTGTACTCCAAACTGGGCGACAGAGCTAGACTCTGTCTCAAAAAAATAAATAAATAAAATAATTCTGGCCAGGTGTGGTGGCTCACACCTGTAATCCCAGCACTTGAGGTGGCCAAAGCAGGAGAATCCCCTGAGCCTGGGAGTTGGAGGCTACAGTGAGCCATGATCATGCCACTGCACTCCACCCTGAGCAACAAAGTGAGACCCTGTCTAAAAATAATGATAATCCATGTTCATTTTTAAAACTTTTAGAAGACAATAGATTATTATATTTATTTAATCATCAAGACTGATAATCACCATCATCTTTTGTTATATAATATTGCCTTCCAATCTTTTTTTTTTTTTTCTTTGAGGCAGAGTCTCGCTCTGTCACCCATGCTGGAATGCAGTGGCATGATCTCAGCTCACTGCAACCTCCACCTCCCAGGTTCACATGATTCTCCTGCCTCAGCCTCTCGAGTAGCTGGGATTACAGGCACACACTACCACACCCGGCTATTTTTTTGTATTTTTAGTAGAGATGGGATTTCACTATGTTAACCAGACTGACCTCGAACTCCTGATCCACCCACCTCAGCCTCCCAAAGTGCCAGGATTACAGGCATGAGCCACTGCCCCCAGCTCCAATCTTTTTTACTTTTATTTATAGATGTACATATATATTTTTGTGTATACACACACAGATATAATACATTGACTTTGTTTTTTAATTTTTTTATTTTTTTTTATTTTTTTTTTTTTTTTTTGAGATGGAGTCTTGCTCTGTCACCCAGGCTGGAGTGCAGTGGCACGATCTCCAGTCACTGCAAGCTCTGCCTCCCAGGTTCATGCCATTCTCCTGCCTCAGCCTCCCAAGTAGCTGGGACTACAGGCGCCCACCACCACACCCAGCTAATTTTTATATTTTTAGTAGAGATGGGGTTTGACCGTGTTAGCCAGGATGGTCTTGATCTCTTGACGTCGTGATCCGCCCATCTTGGCCTCCTAAAGTGCTGGGATTACAGGCGTGAGCCACTGCGCCCAGCCAACTTTTATTTTTTTAAAGAACAGTGTTAGGTTCACAGCAAAATTGAGCAAAAGGTATAGAGATTTCCCATCTACAACTTATCCCATCACATGCATAGTCTGTGCCATTGTCAACTCCTCCACCGGAGTGGTACATTTGTTACAGCTCATTAGTCTACATTGGCACATCATTATAAACTAAAGCCCATAGTTTACAGTAGAGTTCACTCTTGGTGTTGTACGTTGTATGGATTTGGACAAATTTATTACATGTATTCACTATTAGAGTATCACATAGAGTGTTTTTTTAAATACACATCTGTGTACTTTTTTTGCACATCAGCATTGTGTATATATGTACATATTTTTGAACAAGTGAAAATGTCTTCAGCTTCAGGTATAATTCTGTATTCTAGAAAATGGACATTTTCTTTCCATTGTGAATATTTATTTGGGGGGAAAAAAAAGCTTCAAAATTGAGGAACCCTGTAATTTAACTCCTACCTAACAAAGTAAATGCATGAACAAGTTGTCTAAACATCTTATTATACTTGTTCCTTGGTGGCTTCCTCCCTTTGTTAACACTGCCATATCCTATGTCCAAATCCCTATCTCTTCTCCATTGAGTCTTTGCCCTGCTGGGTTTCCCAGCAGTTGACATGGAAAAAGAGGCATTCTAGCTGCAAGTGGTGTTGATTTTCTGCAAAGTCATCTCATCTTGTGCATAGCTGCCATGCCTGGAGCTCAACCAGATTGAGTAAAGAGAGGCAACAGGATTTCTCCCTCCCTTTGGAAGAATGCTCAGCTCTGCAGTGTACTGCACAGAGATCTGTGTATTAAGGAAAGTATCCAGCTGGTATGGAGTGGGAAAGTGTAGATTATAGCTTAAATAAAAGCTGCATTGAGAAGAGAGAATTGATTGGTGGGAAGCCAGGTTGTTTCTAGAAAAAGAGATTCTACACCCTTACAAGCATATCACTTCTCTGAGCTGGAAGCCTTTGCCCAACTAAGTTTCAGTATCAACAGCTCTCCTGGAGGCTGTACGATTTGGCTGAGAAAAAGCTAGATGTTGACAGAGACCCTTTGCAGAAAAGCAGGCAAACAAGTATATTGGACACATAACCAGTAATTTTGCTCGTGAATTTAAAAAATAGTCAGAACTTTTACTGCTGATTATCTTTTCCAAGATTTGACATTACAGTATTTGACATCTTTTTAGAAAGTGTTTCCTTTTCAGAGAAAAATTCAGCCTAGGGAGAGGATCAGGAAAAAAATAACTAGTGGGTACTAGGCTTAATACCTGTGTGATGAAGTAATCTGTACAACAAACCCCCATGACACAAGTTTACCTATGTAACAAACCTGCATATATACCCCTGAACTTAAAAGTTAAAAAAATAAGGCCGGGCACGGTGGCTCATGCCTGTAATCCCAGCACTTTGGGAGGCCGAGACAGGCAGATCACGAGGTCAGGAGATCAAGACCATCCTGGCTAACATGATGAAACCCCGTCTGTACTAAAAATACATTTAAAAAAATGAGCC